ATGATTTTATTATATTTTTTTTCATGTTTAGATACGGTTTATCTACATAATAAAAGCAATTCCAAAAATTAGGAAACATCCCCATTACAAATGTCGAGTCTACTTAGAACTTCTTTATGTAAATGTCGTAATTAATTTAAATTAGTATAGAAATTATCTAAGCACTTCGGAAAAATTGTAGAGGAAATGGTATAACGATTGCAGTTCTGTTATAGCAAAAAAGATTTCTAACTCTTATACTGATGAGATTTTAATATTGACATTAATATGTTTTATTTTTTTAAATAACATAAGAAGTTAATTCGGTTCAAGTAAAATGTATTTTGAAATGCAATTTAAAATTGGAACACTAATCAATAAAATGGTCAAGCGCCACGTTTGTCTGAATTCGATTGAGACGGAGACGAAATTGGCGTATCGAGAGATTTGTTAGATTTTATCTAGTTTGGGTCATTGTAATCCAATAAGTAAGCCATTAAGTCGACAAATGGTTATAATCGTTGTTTGTTAATATTTTTTAAATCTGTTACAAAATAACTTTTTTCATTTATTACATTGTATTACAGATAAAATGATTTTGTTCTATAGGCAAGGGAAAACAGTCAACAGACACGTCCGCTTACGTAAAATGTCAAACTCGGCGTCGCCGGCGCGACACAATGGCCACTCGCACAAAGCTTAACTTGCACCCAGTCATTAAAATTTCGTTCTACATCTTTTCCATTACGCGGATGCAGACAAAAAATAGCAAAATAAAAATGTATAAACCCCCGAAAAACAAAAGTCAGGGACGGGGAGAACAGGAAATAAAGTTAATTAAGAGCGGCGAAATCGACTGAGTTGCGGTGGAAATTGGCCCCTTAAAAAAGAGACATTTGTAGCCGAGCTATTGCGCTTAATTTTTGTGACAAGTGAAACAAAAGAGTTGGTGGGGTGCGGGGTGGGGGTGAGTAGGAGCGGGGAGGGTAAGGGGAGATAAGGTATGTGTTATCGCGGCGGTTCCGGCAGCGGCCAGCGGCGAGTCGAAGGCGATACCTTTTGTTTTGCCACATTGAGGGATGCGCGCTCGCCTGACATTATCTACGCTCCTTGTCCGCGCTGACCTTTCCACTCCTGATACTTAATTTTATTTCTCAGACATTTCGGGCACTTTTACCGCCAGATTTTTAGCTTTTGATGCTATCTAACAAGTTACTTACATTATCATACTTCATACTAATACTATTATTATAAATGCGAAAGTTTACATAGATAGATGTATGTTTGTTAGAGTTTGTAGACTTAACGGATAAACGGATTTCGATTAAATTTGGCACAGATATAGAGGATATTCTGGAAAAACACGTAGGCTACTCACTTTTGTTTTTTTATTCCGCATGGACGGAATCGCGGGCGAAAGCCAGTTTGATATAATTCATTATTCTCAATATCCACGTGTTCAACAAAGAACACTTTGAATGATTGAAAAGTAACCACCGTATTTATTTCCTTGTATTTCATTGATTTCGAACAAAATTTCTGTAATTCTTTAATTTTACTTATCTTTTCAATCTGGAAAAATATCATGAATATATCAATGTAATTTTATTACGGAAGTTGTTTTGAATTACGACATCGAAATTAAAAATACAAACTCGTAGATTGCTTTGAGATCATTGTGATAGAATTGGTAATGGATATCGGAGAAAGAAAATGAAAAACAAAAAAAGATAAGTAAATAACTGATTGTGTATCCTAATTTAATAATAGTAAGGACTCCAATTTCCATTATTTGAAATCATGCTACTGCTTAAAGGTATTCAAATAAATGCATACGAAATGTGTCGCTAACTCGATTTACGTGGAAGCCTTAATAATGCGTGGGCATGGGGCGTATTAGCTTCGCCTGCCGTGGAGAATTACTAATTGGATCTTCCTGCACCCTGCCCACTCGGTAAATGTATCTGACTTGTGCATCCGACGCGACATCTGTACGTAAGCCTATCAATGTACACAATAATATTGTACCGTACTTAGTTTTGATTTGATAAAATTTGGTATAGATGTAGAGTATAGTCTGGAAGAACACACAGGCTACTCGCTTTAGTTTTTTTCTAATTTCACGCAGACGGAATCGCGGGCGAAAGCTAGTTTGTGATGTAATTTAATCTCAATGTATTGGTCTTCATTGTAAATATTTTGAACGAAATAAAAATAAAAGTAAGGGAATTACGTCTCACTAAGTTGTTTGCTTGGAAAAGTATAATGTTTGAACTGTTTATTTGATACTAAGAAAATCACTCGAAGATGATAGGCAAGTTCGAATTCTACGAAATGTACTTAATGCTTTCTACTATTAAGCATAACTTACACGACTGATTGTCTGCTTCGTTAAGTTATCAATACGTTCAAAGTCCAACAATCGGAAGCTGTCACATCGCAGGATGTTTTGATGTTAATTAATTGCGAACATCCTGTGATAAGTGGACATATTAAAAATAGTATTAGATACAAGTGACTTCCTTAAATTGCAACATGATACGCAATTATATCAAACGGTAGTTATTTAATTTTTTATATTTTTCCATACTTATCTTTGTATTTTTCTCACAGATTTTGTGTGGGCGATCGCTTCTACTTGTGCGAGAACAAGATCCTGTGCGAGTATGACTACGAAGAGCGACTGGTGTTCGCCAACATGGCGTACAACCCGCCGCCGCTTGCGCACCTCAAACGGCAGACCACCCATCTTTCTCCACCCCCGGTAACTATGCCTTATAATAATTAAGATAAAACTTACAATGAAAAACTTCTTAAGTTGTCAATCGATGTTTTAGTAAGAATACTCGGATTACGTCTTTAAATTATAAGAGCGAGCGCACACCTTTCACTAAACTATCGCACAACCGTTGTGCGATTGTCGATTATTTCGCAGCAAATTCAATTGTTTAGTTGCACAACTAAAATAGAGTAGTGTGTGCACCTTCATATAAGGTCATAGGAATCAAAGGTCTTAGTATTCTTACTTTGTAGTAAGGATTATTATCCTAGTTGTGACAGCGCAGCTGAAGCATCAATAACCATTGTATTCTTGTTAAAGATTTGATGATGAAATCAGATACAACAAAAAATAACACATCGACTGGACTCCTACAACTTGGACATTGTCCGAATGTTTTTTGGAGATCGAGCTACGCTTACTCTTGTTTTCTTTTATTAACAAAACCATTCTTTCAACAGACAAGCAACGCGATGAGCCTAATGAATGGATCTGGTCGCTCTGGTGACATGAACAACAACATGTCGGGCTCGAGCACGGCTGCTTTCGTGCCCCCGCCGCACCTCAAACCGCTCGGCCTGTCGGCGACCAGCTGAGACTACCGCGTCTGAGATACGGCTCACCCATACGCCAAGTATCATAACTAAACCACTAAGACTAATGTCGCTGAAATGTGTCTGTGTTAGTATTGGCTTGGGACAAACAAAACATCATTTATGTGTCGTGTTTTCGTATTAAAGTTTGCGACAATGGGTGAAGACTAATCGTTACTCAGTGTTCGGATTGACGCAATGACTACTTTAACTAATTTCGTTGAAATGTGTCGGTAGGTTTCGGTCAATAAAAGTGGCGAAGTGTTTCTGGTTAAATAAATTGGATAAACGTAGTGCAACGAACATTTATAAAATCGTATTGATGTGAATTGTTTATTCTACGTGTTATTGTAATTATGCCAAAACTTATATAGTTAACGATCTCTGTATCTTAGAAGATATACTTCGATATTTAATCGTAATAATCGTGTTTTTGTTCTCTAGAGATCTCAGAAGGGCAGTTCTAAATAAATTAAGTGAATATAGAAGGATGCGGTTTTATATACCGAGTAGTAACGCATGTGTTAAGACTGTCAGTCGTTGTATTGTTAATGTAAATATATAATATTTTTACTTACTTTCTATAATAGAGATCACTCATTTATGTATTAGTGAAGTGTTCGGTGAGTAGATGACGTGTGTCGAACAAATTGAAAATTTTATTTTTAAAACTAAGTTCATATATTTTTGGCTTAGCCATACATTTATTATTTCGACTCTCTCACTTTGTTATTTCTTTTTGTACATTGTAAATTACTGTTAAGTTTATCCATAAACATTGTTATAATGTTTGTATTATTTATGTAAATACAACTAAGTAGTTAGTATATTGTATTTAATTATTAATTAAAATTGGTAAATATCAAATATTTGATTCTAGCGAAATATGCAAAAAAAAACATACATGTTAATGATTATAATTAAAAAATGCGTAATTTAAAATAGTTCAAAATAGTTTATTTAGCGATGTTTTAAATTAATCTTTGTAAATGTATTCAGATAATTTTAAACGCATTTAATTAGATAGTTTATGCATTCCTAATTATACTAAGATATTTCGATGTCGCCTAAGGTCAGCGCATTGTTTGTAAGTCAAATGAATGTTCTGGTTCTATTCTAACCAATGATTTGACCAAAGAAGTAGCTCATTAAAATCTTGTTCAATATCTACTGTTTTTTTTTTTTAAAAAAATCCTTTACCTAAATACGAGTAGCACAATCAACTACTTAGGTACTGAAAATCTATTCAAAAACCATGGTTACTGTAAAATTGGTTTCAATAAGAATTTATGCGCTTCAATTACAGCTAAAATAGTGCAAATTCAAAAATCTATGTAAACCTTTTTTTGTCATCGATTTGAAAGGTATGACGCCACAAAATGGTGCAAGTACATTTAGGGCCTGTCCCACCACTGGCTAGAAAGTTCAGTTAGCTTAAAAATGACGTCATGAGGTAACTAGGATGATTCAGACAATATACAATTTGTTGGGATTGGCCCTGTAATGAAAGAAAAATAACAAATAAAAACATAGAATAATAAGAATTTGGAATAGCGAATACAAACTCTCATCTTATTCTGGGAAATATATTAACTTGCCCGTTTCTCTTTAATTAGTACGCAAGAAAAAAACAATTATTAATTTACGATATCAGGTGAACTCATATTTTCTCAGAACGAAGGTGCAATAACTATTAAGAATATTATGTTTTTCATTAATTAAACTAAAAAAGTATATACGCAATAGTCTTGCTTTTAAATCCACGTCTTCGATTCCATATATTAGATCGGTAAGTTACAAACAAGACACATTTCCAAAAGTATATTGTTATCCTTCTTACTGTATTTGATACTAGCTGAAGCTCGCGACTTCGCCCTCGTGAAATTAAAAAAAAATACAGCCTATGTTACTCACAGATAAATTAACTTTCTAACTGTGAAAGAATTTTTGAAATCAGCCCAGTAGTTTTTAAGTTATTTCAATACATACAAAAAAAATCTTTCATCTTTATAATGTTATTATAGATATATATAAACAAAGATACCAATATGTTCTTGTAAATGTTTTGCGATAATAAAAACTCTGTACCACTTGACAAGAAATGATCTTATCGTAATAAACTCTAACAATGCAAGAAATGACGTCATCAATTGCAGAGGTGAACGGAAATTTGAAAAGGTCCTCTTTACAACAGACCTCCCAAATAAAGACCATACAGATTCAATATACGAGGCGAAAAATATCGTCCCCCGCGTCACTTGTGTTTGCTCATAACACGTTAAAGTACTTTATGTGTAGGGACAGCAAATTAATTTAATTCATATTAAAAACTTACTTTAATATCAAATACTATACTCATCATCATCATCATCCTTCTCATCCTACTCCCGTAGGGTCGGCACAACATGTTTTTGTCCTCCAAATAACTCTATCATACGTCATCTCAGTGATCACTCCCTTCTTATTCATGTCACCTTTCACGCAATCCATCCTTCACTTTCTAGGTCTACCTCTACCGGTGTACCCTTCCACACTCATATCAAATAATATACTCTGTAAGGTTAAATTGATCTTTATTCGATATATTTAGAGTTGAAAATAATTATTAAAAAAAACTAAGAGCCTGTCCCATCAAATTGTAAATTGTCTATTAAGAATCCAACGTATAAAATATGTGATGGAAATATCGGATTTTATTCCCTTATCTGATTGGTGATTTTATGCTATCTGAGCCTCTATCAGCGAGTGGTGGGACAGGCCGTAAGTCTGAAAAGTAGGTGACATTTTTGTGCTAACGTTACTGGTAGAGCGGACGTGAAAAGAGGAGAAAAATCACCCCAATTTCCCGACACCGGCCGCCCTCAGCGCCGCAGAACGCAGTCTGATAGAACTGTTATCGATACCATCTTTAATTTCAACAGTAAACAAAACCGCAGATTATGTTTAGATTAAAGTTTCATTGAGAAGTTATACTTACAGATCGGTTGATAATAAAACTGGAGTTTATACAATTTACTAAAAACTTAGTATTTTTAATAAAATACTACTTCTGTTATACCATTCATAAAACGATTTCATTGAAAATGAAGCGTTAACGGACGCACAAACAACACTTTAAACGGGACCTTTTCGAGCGTGAAGTGGACAATGAGGTGCGTGAAAAATAGCCTCCGCAGACGCGACGGCACACAAATCAAAAAGCTTTCGACGAAAAAATCG